TTTATGAGTGTGTTAGCTATTGCTGCAAAGGGTCATGGTAAAGCAATATATACGACAGTAAGGGTCTGCTTTGTAGCAAAAAGACACTATCAGGAAGGAGTTGTGGCTGTCCCCTCCTTTGTAGAGGGGCAGCAAATGAACTTTCTCTTTTGGGGCCTCCAACTTGGGCAGGGAGCACCTCAGAAATAAGCAGCCCAAATGGTCTCAGTGAGGGCTTCTCCTACCCTGCCAGTTACATGGGCACATAACTGCTACAAGACTATTCCCGATTTCACAGTCCCTCCCACTCCCCACACACCGAAGCCAGGTTCAAACCTTCATCCTAGTGTTATCAACAAACAGTGCTGGCAACTGGGACAACCGTCCCTGGAACTCACCTTGTGCTCAGAGGGGACAATACCAGCAACACTGATCACTGTGTTTCCTACTGACCAGGCACAATTCTTCCTGCAGCGGAAAAGCTCAGGCTGATGCCTTACCTGCTGGAATTAATGCTCACAGCACATCCGCCTTTGAATTATGTCATTCAATTCTTACAACCATCTTGTTCCACAGGTATTATTATTCCTCTTTTTTATAAAGAGAACCATGATGCTCAAAAAAGGGTACGTTTCCTAGGCAACACAGGTAGGAGGAAAGGGAAGGTAGTTGTCTGGGGACAGGAGGTCAAGCAAAAGATGTTTTTTCAAGAGGTGCCCTGGTATCTTTAAAATAAATGGGGAGAAACACGTTACAATGAGGAGAAGGTTGCAGGTGTGGGGAGCAAAGGCACAATTGCAGAAGGTGGGTGGCTTGGAGTGAAGGAAGGACGAGCTCTCCCGACTGCATGAGGAGATACGTGAAGGCCCAGCCCAGGCTCTGTAGTGCCCAGATTTATGGTGCCCCCGCTGGAAGATGGGTGCAAATGGGCTTCTGGGCGGCACCCTGGAGTTTCTCATTCCGCACATGTGGATGGCGCCCGAAGAAGGTGCATTTCTAGCCGGTTTCCAGGTGATTCCGTCCCGCCGCCCAGCCACCACACTTTGAGAACAGCTGCCCCACTCGTGATGGGTTGGGTCATCTGATGTCACGTCCTGAGTGGGGCCTGACCTAGTGGCCTCTTTGGGTGGGCCTCCTCGAGAAGCCCCGTCCCTTCTTCCTGTCTCTGTCAGAAGTACTACTAGGTCATCAAACACTCAGTTATAGGTGCCGAGGATTGATCCGGGCAATAAGTTAGAAACTTCTAACCAAGAAGCAGAGAATGACGGATCATTTTCATTCCTGATGTGAAAAATTATTTCATCTTGAATAAGAGACGTAATTATCCAGCATAATTTAGACCGTTTTGAAGTAAAAAAGATCCCCCACAGGGGAGGGAGAGATGGGGACAGAAGCACTTTTGGCTGCTGTCAGTGGTGTGGGCCACCCGGCCTTGCCTTGGGCAAGATGCCGAGCAGGACGTGAGATGACTGTGGCCTTGGGAGAGCAGGGGGACGGAGCATCCCAGGTCTCGGGGCATTTTGGAAGTGGCATGATATCAAGGTGCAAGCTCTGGCTTTGCCATTCAGATTCAGACTTCCGCGCAGTAGGTCACATGCTTCACTTCTGTGGACCTAAAAGTGGTCTTTAAGGGGCGTGTGCCTGCCCCCACTGCACAGATTGTCCTGATGTGTATGGTGGGACACAGCAGAAGGGCCTGGTCCACGCAGATACTCAAAAAAGGCTCCTCTGCTTCCGTGTCAGACAAAACTCTTCAATTTCAAGGCATCCTTATTCGGATTCTTCTCAGACCCTTGCCTTTGACTGCCCCCCAGTTCCTGAGTCCACAGACCCTGGGCCTCTGTGACCCTGGGAAGGATCTTCACTGCCAGAGCAGCCTGGGATGACTCGGCTTTCACAGGGTGCTGCCAGACTGCCCCCCAGCTCTCCTGTCCCATCAGCATCCCTGCTTGAAACCTCAGTCACCTGTGCGGGCTCCCAAGAGCACCCCTCTGACTACTGGGCCCCAATCCTGGAATAGGGCTAGGCTGCGAGGTGGCTCCTGCCCCCTAGGCTTGCATCCTGCCTGCAAGTGGGCTCTTCCTGCCCCTGGAAGAGGAGAGAGGTCTCTGCCAACAAAGATCTATCCCCTCCCCGCTCCTGTCCCAGGGTCTCTGGGTGCTGCCCTGGCGCAGCCCACGGCCCAGGCCCTGCCCCTGGGGCCTTCATTTAGCTTTTGTTGGAGAACATTCATGTAGCCAGGGCCCCGTCCATCCAGTGGGGAGTGGTGTGGGGAACTTGTTTGCATTTTGCAAGTACAACAGCGCCAACCCACAGCAGAGAGAGGGATGTTAGGCGTAGCAGACTCTGCTCAGCAGGGGGTGGGTTTGAACCCCCTGGAGAGGCCTGCTTGCATGCTGGGCATCCCTGACAGCTCAGGGCCTCAGCTTTAACCTGCACAGGGCCTCCTCACTCACCCAAGGAGGTGGGAAGGGGGCTGCTCCTGTCCCAACATCCACCCCGCCGCAGGCCCACTGAGGGGGTTGGCAGGGCTTGGCGTCACCTCCCAGCTGGTGGAGAAGCTGCCCAGGAAGCAAATCAGCTTTTCAGGAAAAGCAACAGGGGAGGGAGCCCAAGGACAGGGCAAGGAGTGAGGGGCCCGACAGGCTGACAGGCAGGGCTTGCCCCCATGCGGCTGGGAGAGAGAACTGGTGAGGGCAGGTGCCCCGTGTTCTCTGTCCTGAGTGCTTTCATCCACAGGCTACCCTACGAGGCAGGGCGGGTTGCTGTGCCCACGTGCTAATGTGAAAAGGGAGGCACAGAGAATCAAGACACTCTTCTGGGGTCACAGAGCTCACAAGTGATGAGCTGGCTCAAGGCTGGAACCCGAGCGCTGCGCACGCCGCTCTGTGCCTGGGGGCCGTGCCTCCTCCCCTCACTGCCTGCCTGCGTGCTTCAGTCCCATCAAGGTCCCTCTTTTGTGGGTTCCTGTCACCCTGTTTACACATCTCACATGGGCCCCTGGGCATCAGGGCTGTGAATATTGGGGGTTTACTTCTGGAATCTCTTCTTGTCAGTTCATATATTTTCCCTTTTAACTCATACCACATTATTTTAATTACTATAACTTTGTAGTAAGTTTCAAGGTTGTTTTGGCTGTTGATTTGCATTCTTTTGATCTAGTGTCTTCCTATTTCTACTTAAAAATTCAAAGAATGTATTATCTATGAAACCATTTTGAAAGTACTACTCAAAACTCCCTATAGTAAAATAAAACTTAACTTGATAAAGAACCTAGAGATATGTAAATTACTTGTGATTAGCAAAGAGTAAAACATATTTGCATAATTATTAACAGTGTAGTATGAGGACTTAAGCAATTGTTTAAAAATATTCCTAAAAAACTACAAGCATGAGAATTAAAAGCAATTTACAGTATTTTAAATGATTTAAGCAAAATGTAGCAGTTAACATAAGAAGAGAAAACAATTACATTGAATTGTCTTTCTTTTTCTATTTGGAAATTTGAAATTGTGTGCATTAATTTTCAATTTGGTTTTTAAAAGTGAATATACCTACATGAGTTACAACTATAAGGAAACTATGAGAAGAAAAGATAACGTAATTTCTAAAAAAAAAAATTCACAGAGGAAAAAAAGGAATGAAATCAGTTAAAGGAGGTAGGAAAACAACAAGAAGAAAACTTAGTACTGTTAAACACTAAATACAATGTAGAGAATGGTCCAAATAACCGACCACTCCCCCATTCTAATCCTACTTAATCCCAAAAATACAAAAAAAAAAAAAAATGGAAGAGGTTAAATTCCCCAGCTAAAAGACAGGATACTCTGAAATGGAGTAAAGTTTCTATATGGTATTAGACTAGAAACAGTTGAACTAAAGTGACGTAGAACAGTAAAAGATATAAAGGCAGAGACAAACGTATAACAAGAGAATAATACAAAGAGAATGAGTAGAGCAGCAAGTAACTGAAGAATTCAAAATGGAAAATAAAACTGAGACCAAATAGTTCATATTGGCCAAGTCACCCCGCCCAAAGGAAAGGCTGATCACGTTGTGTTCGAAAAGTTGAAGTAAAGCCGTTGCATTTACGAAGATATGTGGATGGCCCTTCTGGGTGGGACATGTCAGTGGGTGGGATGTGTCACTGAGGATGCCAGCTGGGGGGTGGCGCGCCAAGACCGCAGGGAGAGGTCTCTCCAGCCCAACAGGTGATTCCGGAGATGCAAAGGCATCTGGAATCTGCACTTCCCCCAGCAAAGTGTTACCAGTAGAAAAGTGCGGTCCCTGTGCTTATGTAGCAGTGTAGTCTCTGTGTGGGGTGCACAGAATGTGACCCAACTCCTTCCTCTCACCTGTGCAGTCTCGCCCCACTGGCTTCTGAGAATCGCAGGGTTCTGACCCCTGTGAAAGCTCCCATGTTTGCAGATAAGTGAGTGGCGTCAGGAATCTCAATGCCTTTCATGAACCCACTGGGTGACCAGGGTGTGGTCCACAGGCTGTCCATGACTCTCCACCTCTGACTATATTAGACGCGTGGTCAGTGCACCCCGCCAGGACCAAACGTGGCCATCGCCCTGACTTCGGGGGGTCCTGTCACCAGGCAGGAATTGTGAATGGCTTCCTAATTTTGATTTCCCATGAACCTGAGAGTCACGTGGAATGTCAAAAGTTGGGTTTGGTTTGTGAACCCCTCTGGAAATCACTCTGCACCTGTCCTGGATCATCAATATAAAACATGGGGTTCTGGTGGGTTCTGACGTGGCAGACTTTTCCCATTTATCCTGATCTACCTCCTGATGCTTGTGTTTATTTAAAAATGGAAAAGTGGGATCATGTGTTGAGGAGGAAGATTCATGGTCTGCGATTCCCTACCCAGACCATGTCAAGTTCATATTGAACATTTAAAAGTGTTAAAAATTTTGAAATATCAATGAAATTTTAAAATACAAAATGTTTAATTCTCACTTGAAGTAACATGTCCACATCCCCTTTTTTTTTTTTCTTGTCTTGTCCAGAGTTCTCAGGGGCTGTGGTCTCATACCTTCTGGGGCAACAATGGAGCATTTCCAGCAGCGACCGAGCACTGTCGCTGCAGATGCCTGAGCGCCATCACCTGCAGAGAAGCACACTGTCTGCAGAGTAAGTCCCGTGTTCACACAGTCTCTGGGGGGCAGGCCAGGCAGCAGGCGCCGACAAATGGCTCTAACAACAGAGTTCTGGAAACGGATCCCTGGGAACCTGGTCTGGGCGAGGGGTGATTGCCCGTCACTAAAGTCCACTGAGACAGAATTATAAAATGAACTTCATGTTGCATTAGAATTTGTATTTAAGTCGCAAGCATTAGTCTTTCTTTCCAATATTGATTTCATAATCTCTTTTTCTTGTATTGAGGTAACTTGGTTTGCAGTGATTCAGAGACAGAGGGTCACACTGCTCGGATGCACGTGCTCACAGCACACCCATCACCAAGACACCCACACCCACAGTCCTCCTCTATCACCGATTATAACTCCCACCCCACCCCCAATCTGTCCTCTCCACTTGTAACCTCCACTCCACAGCCAGTTTTCTTGGTATTATTCTTAAAAAGACACACACAAAAAATGACTGTAATGATTGAACAGCACCAGTGATTTGCAGTGATTTGTAGTGATTCGATGTGTATTAGTAAAAATCTGCTATGCTGTTGCCACCCATTGCTACCATTTGATTTCTAAACAACTGACAATGTATACAAAAGATAGCCACAGTGTAATGTATGCATTGCCTTTATTTTTAATGTTTCTTTAGTTCTTGTCAAAAAGTACAAATTTTATCTAGTCATGCCCTAGCATAGCAATTCTTCCACCTTATGACTCTTTCATTGACTTATTTGCCTACTTTTCATTTTGATAAACTGCAAATCTACAGTAAAATGGAAACAGAACACCCATTTGCACTCAGGTTTACCAATTGTTTACCCACATACTCGTACATATGTACACACATGTGGAGCTTGTAGACATATATTTGTCATGTGTGTGTTCGTGTTTTTTTTTTTATCTGAATCTTGAAAGTAAATTACAGGCATCATGACATGTTTTGGCAGCTATCATCTAAGTTCAGACAGTCTTCTTGAAAACTGTAATTCCATAGTCACTGTGGACTGTATCATCAATAACGTAACACTATCCAATTGTAGTCCCTATGTAAATATCCCCAGTGGTCCCCAAAATATTCTTCATAGCTGTTTTCCCCTACCTAGCACTCAATGAAGTATTTTGTATTGAAGTTGGTTCTATCTTTTTAAATTTGGACCAAAATCCTGCCTTCGTTTTTGTCCTTTGTGATGTTGACATTTTCAAGAATCTAAGACATTTGTCCTATAGAGTGACCCTCCTGCTTCATTGAACTTAGATGCTGGTGAACACTTTGCCTTCATGCATCACTGTGATCTAGGATTGGTCAAAACAAATGTGTTTGCTCCCATGACTCCTACCAGATCTTTATACTCTTTATAAAGTTACTTTTTTTTTTACTTGTAATTAATAAGCAACCAGTGGGGTGAACTTTCCTAGTTAACTGTCACCCAAGGCTTTTAGAATCCATTTTTGGTTGTACTGTGATTTTTTTTAAAGATTTATTTATTTATGCATACAGTACTGGGGTACAGGCCAGAGATGTGGAGGGTGAGAGGATTCACCAGAGACAGAGTGAGGAGCAGAACAGGCAGATCTACGAAGTACACTGCTGAGGGGAGCAGCGGGCAGGTCAGAAGAGGTCTGCCTCGCCATGTGGTCACCTCCGGGGCGGGCGGGAATCGAACTCATGCGGAAGTGGCTTAAGCTTTTTAGTGCTGTGCTTTAACCTGCTGCGCCAACAGGAAGGGCCTGTACTGTGATTTTTAACTCAGTTCATTAATTTCTTCCCTGTCTGTCCTTAACATTCTGTATTTTTCATGGCTGTGAAATTTCGCACAAAGAAGAACTATAAAGTGGTCAAGAGAAAATCTCCAAAATGACTGTCTAGATATGTGTGTTGAGCTGCACCCCATCACACAATAACCAAATAAGCAAATGCTTCACCACACCAGCTCCCCGATGTCCTCATCATTCAAAATCGTGGGCAGTGCCTCCGTGGGCAGTGTTCAAAAATTAAAAATAGAAGAGACCCAACAACTCTACTTCAAGGCAACTAGTCAAAGAATATGAAAACAAAGAAGGTGTCCATGGCAGCACTGTTCATAGTAACCAAGCCACGGAAACAACCTAAATGCCCACTGATGAATTATTGAACTTAGAAAATATGGTACAATATGTAATATGTATGATATATAATGTACATTTTATATACATATAATACGTATTAGGCTAGAGCTCAGCGGTAAAAATGGTGAACTCTTTTGATTTGTGATCTCAAGAGTAGAACTGGAGGTGGTTCTGCAAAACAGAACAAATCAGAAAAAGCCAAATACTGAATGATTTCATGTGTAAGTAGAGCATAAAGAAATAAAGCAGATGAACAAACAGAATATAACCCTCAGATTCTAATGGCAGAATGGTGGCTACAGTCACTGTGTTTATGGTTACCAGAAGGAAAAGGGCTGGGGGAGGGGGGAAGGGGGGGAGGAACGGTAGAGGAGGCCATTTCAATAATGGGGAAGGCATTAGAATTTCGGTGTGTGACATACACAGTTACCGAAGTGCGAAGTTGTACTGCTTAAACTTACACAGTAATGTAAACAAATATAGCCCTCAAAAAAAATAAATAGTACACGAAGAGGGTGACTGTGCTGGGTGGCTGTTGGATGGGGCCCTCAGTTGAGGTCACTGTTGTGTTTTCTCAGAGTAGGAGGATGGCTGAGGATTCTGCTCCCCTCCTGAGATCTCTTGTTACCTTAGGTGAGCAGTGGAAGCTGAATAAGACACGTCGTGAAGATGCTCAGGAGCCTGAATGACAGAGCAGAGGGTCCTCAGATCTGTGTGGCCGTAGATATAAATCCCTGCTGCTTAGGGGTTGGTTAGAGAAGCAAAATCGCCATGACAGTAGACATTCTTCAGCAAGCGACGTCCTGATGAAGTGGCACCTTCTGGTTCTTTCTAAGGCATTCCTTGGCCTTCACCTCTCCCTTCACTTGGCCTGGAACCCTCCCCTGCAGCTGCTTCTGCCTTTCAGTCACTGGCCAGCAATGGGCCTTCTGTTGCAAGATCATATCAAGCTCCATGGTTCCATTGAATGGAATCTTCCTGAAAAAATTTAGAAATTTTACCAGAAGAATAGCTTATGAATGGATGTGTTAGTTCAGAGACTACTTATAGTCGTGAATTAGACTAAGTCTTAACAAAACAAAAGAAGGCCCTCCCTGTAGGTCAGAGCACAGCACTGTGAAGCTCTCTGTAGCCACTGCAGCACCAGTTCGATTCTCCACTAGGGAGGTGACCCACATGGTGTGCAGACCATCCTGACCAACCCACTTCTCCCCTCAGCAGTGTACCTCAGTCTCTCTGCCTATTCTGCTCCCCACTCTGTCTCTGGTGAATCCTCTTGCCCCTTGTAACTCTGACCTGTACCCCAGTTCTTGTATGCATAAGTAATAAATCTTTTAAAAAAAGAAAAAGAAAAGCTTGCCCTCAGAGAACAATTTTCAATAGGAAATAAGTAGTTCTTAAACATATTTCCTCTAACAATCCTACTTGCTTCAAGACAGTGGGGCTGGTATCCACAGAGCATGGCTGTTGCTGGGATCACGTGCACGCAGTGTGTTTCTGCACAATCTGCTCATCAGGCTGAGCTTTCGGGGGTGGCTTGAGGTGTCACCTGCTCTCCTGCTCTCTGGGGGAAGCCAGCCCAGCCAGCACAGATTTGTCCTGGGCCCTGCAGACCTGCAAGGAGACCTCTGCTTGGAGACTGAACGCCCCCCTGAAGTCTCCTCATCCTCCTGTGTCCTCTGTTGACCAAGAAAAACAGGTGGAGAATAAAATAAAAAAAAAAAAACATTTAGTTGGGATCTTAGATTTGCAAAATTGGGGAGCACAAACAAGGTATCACCCCAAATTGTGTCCCTGAAGGGAGTCTGAAAGGATGGAAGAGGGAGAAAGAAGGATAGGTTTGCAAAAGCTGTTACCAAGAACTAGGATGGGTTATAGATTGCATTCCTGAGAGTTCACTGGCTTTCAATCATGCTGGCCTTGGTTACTATGGAGAAAAGAAAAAGAGAAAAAAAACTTAAGCACAGTTCTCAGGGAGACCTTGTCTAGTGAGAAACCAGTTCTTGCCAGTCAGTGAATAGTTTTTTGTTTGTTTAAGCTAAAAGTTTATAAGATGGTGCCAGCTTGAACATCCCTTCCCACTTGTCCTTCTTCATGTGTCAGGGACCAACCCCCTGCCACTCTCCTGGCCTCCTGGCGAGTGTCCTGGGGAAGGGTCTGTGGTGCAGGCAGGACTTCATTGTTTATGTGATGGGTGAAGCTAGCTTGAAAGCATCTCTCTGGCTTGGAATCAACACAGAGGAAGTGCCTTGGGTTTCATGTGAGTATACAGTGGGGTGTCTCAGGGCTTCTTGTCTGCTTCCCGGAGTGCCTGGGCAGAAGCCCGAGTTCTCTGGCTTGGAGTGAGTAGTGAGCTCACTAGTCCACCGGTGAACCAGGGCTCCTCACAGGAGGCCCTTTCCTGACCCTCATGGATGACAGTCGCCATTGTCATGGCAGAAATGAGGCATGCAGAAATCCAGAATGCCCACACGGCCTGTCAGTCAAATGCCCTCAGGTTTTCTTTGAATTATTTTAAAAGGAGATTCTAAATACTTCATGCAGGGGGAGCTGAGTTGGTGGGGGTGTCAGTGCCTCCTCACCCCCATGGCAGCCAGGGTCCCCAGCCTCCTCAGCCCTCAGCCCTGAGCTGAGAACTCCAGCCTGTGGGCTCCTGGGGATAATGTGGCTTCTACTGGCAAACTGAAGTCTAAATCTTGGTTTCTCCAGGGCAGGGCTGTGGTTTTCTGGTGTGGGCCAGCTCACTGGACCTGTTTCCTGTCTGAAATGGGGGGTGGAGATGGCAACGTCCATCATATAGGGTGAGGATGAAGGGATATCATTCATGAGGACTCGGGGTCCAGGCGCCTCTGAGGGGACTAGAGGTCTTCAGAGGGATAGAGGTGTTAGGAC